AATGACATTTAATGTATTTTATACCATTTGGATTGTATAATTGTAAAGAACCTGTAACAAGTATTCTACTTAAGCTTCTGGGACAATGACCCCCATCTCGATCAGGTTTTCGTCCAGTTTCCCTGATCCTCGAGCAAATGCTGAGATGGCCCCTTGTTTTGGTTCCGGACATACATGTAACTTCAAATTAACTTCTCCCCATAGCTTGTCACATACGTTTTTAACTGTTTTTGACGTAAATAAATAAACCTTGTATGGGAGATTGCCATTGTCCTTATAATTATACCCCCTACATACACACACACACACCATTATAATCCGTGAAGACTGTCCGTCTCGCACGTGGTACGGTTCTTGCTAGCACGTAGGATTGGTCTTGGAAGATGTGCAAGGAAAGGAGAAGTGGGATTTCAACTTCGTGGGAAGTTCAGATCAGACACGACAGGGAGAGATCCCGTCATGCTATTCCACAAATGGCTTTGAATCACACGATATAGACTTGATACTAAATCACCTTCGATGCGAGATAGACAGAGTTCGCCTGCTTCCGTTCGAATATTGTGCACCGTTGAAAAGAATATACGAAAGTGCTAAAGGTAAGAGAGCGAAGAGTGTTAAATGAGGTGGTACAGGCGCCAGGTAAAGATCTAAATATCACTGGAATCAATCACATCGTGTATGGAACTGGATCTCTGCTATCTCCGGTAAGTTCGGGGCCAGGCAAGACCTTAGCCGACAGAAAAATAGAATGAACAGTTCCGTTCCCCGATGGTCTAAAAGAATTATGAAACGAATAGCCGACATTCGCCGCGAAATATTTCTCTTAGCCGAGGTATCATGTAAACACACGCACATTCCTTAAGTTCAACGAAAAATACTTTATGCTGAACATAAGTACCAAAGTCACAATGACAAAAGGTTAATGGCAGCTGAGTAGATAAGATAAAATCCAAGCATGGGTTCAACGCATTAAACGTACAGAACGTGTAGTAGATTTCCGTGTAGAGAATCAGTTGTTTGAAACAATTGCGAAGAGATTATCGAAGAGTCTGATTAAAAAACGAAGGACATTGTTGTCCCTCCTGCAGAGGATGACGTAAAAACATTTTGGGCAGGATTCTGGGAAGAAAGCATTTTGGCTCCAATCTGATCCTGCCAATGAACTTGTGGAACATGTTCATGAATTCTCTGAAGATGACCTCTTCCAAGCTATTAAGAACATGGGAAACTGGAAATCCCCGCGATAGGTACGATACAGAATTACGTTACATTCCAGTTTATCAAAAGCTGTTAATCAAACAAGAGAACTCAAAGGAACTCCCGAAATGGCTCACACGTGGGATCACGTATCTGCTTCCCAAAGCGGGAGACAGTACTTTGGCGGAAAACTACAGACCAAACACTGGCTGCGTGAAATGTACGAAGTCATTACTGCAGCCATAGCTAACAGCTACAGAAACCTATTGCAGCCATAGCTAACAGCTACAGGACCATTTATTGCCAGTTACACAGAAAGTATGTCGTAAAGGCTCCTACATCTGTAAGGAAATCTTCCTGCTAAATAAAATCATCTTGAATAATGTAAGGAAACTAAAACATAATTTAATTATGTCTTGAATTGACCATCAAAAAGCCTTTGGCAGTGTACCACACGATTGGATTTTGATGACCCTAGAGATCTATAGATTTCATCCTAGACTTAATCAGATCTGTAAGGCTAGTTTGAACGGTATGAAACTGTTACAAACAAGAAGTATTCAGATTAAAAGGGGAATTTGTCAAGAAGATTCACTGTCCCCTCTGCTGTTTTACATTAATTTGATTTCACTATTCAGTTGTCGCACACTGACATCTTAGTGTTTGCTAAGAATAAAGCGATTCTCTCCCAAATGGTGTCTGTCTTTAATGATTTTAGCAATGACATTACATGAAATTTGGTCCTGACAAATATGCAAAAGTCAATCTAAAGAAGGACAAAATGGCAATGCCAGAGAGCAGTGGCGGCTCTGGGATTAGGCATCACGGAGGGCACACAAAGTTACAAGATCAAATAAAGTTAGGCATTTGAAATATTGTTATATTTGGATTGTTTAAGTCACATAAGTAAAATTTACAATCGAATTTTCTCCCCGGAAGACAGGCTAAACACATGATCTATAAATTAAATTGAGTCTTCTGTTTTTACATTCTGTAAATCTATTACTAATTATTTAAAATTAAATGAGTCTCGTAACAAAACTCTTTATAATGAAAACATACAAAGTTCTTTCAATCTCTCCTCCGACATGGTATTTCTTAAAAATATCTATAATCCTTTCAAAGTGGAAAAAGCTCTCTCGGATTCTTTTATATAGCACATCCAGCTCAGATTTCAGTTTGCTAGCTCACGAACGGAGAGAACTGTGAAACGCGATCAACCCTTTGTAGGGGAAATTTTTCTTGATATTGTTGGAACGTTTTACAATCAAAGAGAGAACACATGGATAAATTCCCCCTAAAATTAATATGGTAATTTACCCCTTTGAAATTTCCGTACAAAAGAACGATTGCCATTTCTATCAGATTGTAAAATTTTTATATCAGGCCGAGGTAGTCCAATTCTCTTCATGCACAGCCTTGTATCATAACTAGATTGACTGTTTTCAGGCATTTTACAGAATTGCAAACCATTCTCAATCTCAATGCACAATACGAACTGGACGCAACATTCACATAGTTTGTCTACGGATCGGAAAGATGATGCCGACCATGCCGATTGCACATTAACTGCCTGCACTGAATGCTTGCGAAAAGGGAGATCAGTTAAACAGAATACCAGCAGATAGCACTGGCGTAGACGTAAATCAAGCGAAAATAATATTGTAAGTTTAAAAATTGATCGATAGCGCCGGGCAACGAAGTTGCTACCTCCCCTGTCAGGCTGCTGGGCGGCGGCCGTCACAAGACGCCATTTGCCGATCCTACATTGCCATTCGAGCACTTGTTGTCGGCCATTTTTATGTCTGTACGTTCCATAACAACACAGTGTTTAGGACACAGAGGCGAGTGTCCGCAGCCAATGAAAATCGTTCAACGGAACAAGCGGGAGTTTGAAAGCTAAAGATGCGTTCGATTCGAAAACAACCCTACAAACCCACAGAGATTATTTTAGACAGCGCAAGAGAAGAAATACTGATCTCAGTAGGGAGGGCAGTGTCCCTAGCGCCTCCCTGCCGCAGCCGCCACTGTCAGAGAGTATTGAAGTAGTTATGCAAACAGTGATTCAAGATCTTGAGCCAAGTAAAACTTACAAATATCTGGGGAAAACTTACAAATATCTTCAAGAACGTGTAACATCTCGGACGACAGAGGTTTCTCAGTTCGCCTAGAATGATACGGGAAGACGGGGGTGGCCCTCTGTTCATATGTTGACCGTCGTTGAAAATGCGAAGAAAAACGTAGGAAATACCAAGGCATCTGGGTCATCTCTTGAAGGAGAGGCAGTCTGCGCAATGAAGGAAGTTTGTAAACTGCATTCACCTCATTCGAACACTTGAATTGACAATTATAATCAGCTAATATTTCATATTTTAACTTTTACATATTCATGATAATGCAACATTTTCATTCACAAACAACATCGTCAACGTAAAATCAGCGAACAAAAAACATAGACTTTAATAAATCGAGTGTTTGAAAACATCGACTTCGTCTCATCCCCGCTACGATTATGATGGAAAGAGATGGATGGGTTATAGCTCATCGTCTCTGACTAAGCCAATGAGTTTCAGGCACCAGTTTGCATCACAATATTAGTGGAATTTTATATGCAGTCAGATACAAAAATTATTATCTTTTTACTCATCATTGAAACACACGTATAAAGCAATAAAAAAAAAGATTGCATCTTTTATTTCAACTACACCATCATCATGTTATTTTTGTTTGTCACTGTTGAAAATAGTTACTTTTTTGCGCCATTTTCAAAATGTTTCTCAACACCTCTCTCCCCATGCCACATGGTGGCTAGCAGGGTCTTGTCTCGCTATTCAACGAAGTGCCCGTGTTGTGGTCACGTGGTTCGTGACGCAACCTGGTGCTGCGCAAAAATCGGTGCGCTGAACTATCTCACCAATCTCTTTCCACTACGTCTATGGCAAGAATTTTTGTTAATTTTAAATGAATTTTCATGAAATATACTTTGTCTCTCAACTGAAATGCTTAAAACTTTTAACAAAATTTAAGTATTTTCCTAATACTTTTCAAAAATGCAATAATAAGATTGACTGTAGTGAACTAATATTATCATATTACAAGGACGCCCAGAAAAAACAAGGCCGAAATCAATAGAACCACATGGGCCCATTTTTTAAATGAAGTCTCCCAATACAGTAACAGAATTCGTCTCTCCATCCAACAGAAATAACTTCTAGCCAGGGCTTGGATTTATATGGATAACATATCTGAATATGGAATAAGGAATAATATATGGATTGGAGCAAGTTACCCCAGCTGCCCTCCTCCCTTCCCACAGCGCCCCAGCATATTGTGATTTTCAATATAAATATTCAAATAACATTGTCCTGGTTGCAAAAGAAACATATTTGAAACTAAAAATTTGCATTTGATATATTGGTGTGCCAGCAAAACTGGCTATGTGCACTTTTATGAAAATGTGTTTGGTAAATTCTCAAAGAGTAAGAAGTTATTTATAATTGTTCTTAGTTGTTTCATAATCATACCTTTATTGTAAGAAATACATTAGTGTATGAGCACGTAGGAAACAAGAAAGAAAGAAAAAAAAAAAAATGAATGCCTCGTGAATCTCCTTTACAGTGACATTGAGATGTAGTTGGAGAGTAGAAAGAGTACAATTTTTGTTGAATAGTGCAATCAAAAGAAGTTTATTTTCAATTCATATACACAACTTGTTTAATCTTTTTATAGAATTGTTTTATTTGTTAACAACTATATTATTTGTAAATAAGAATATTGTTTGTTTTTATTTACTCAATTTGCAGAAAAGGATGCCGTACTAAAGACTTATGGGACATTGAAGAACCAAAAAATATCCATCGACCTGCAGTTTGCCCAATTCTCTTTCATGGGAATCCATCACCGTTTATTAGAGTTTTCTCTAATGATGTATATGTTGTATTAAAAGTTCATTCCCAGTCACAGTATGTGGAACTTCAGACCCCAATGATATTTTCTCAGTAAAGAAAAGAATGGAAGAAAAATATATCAGAAATTGCCACAGTGTAAATAAGGAGGAATGTAATAATGGGTGCTTAAACTTTTAAGGATTTGGAGAGATTTCTAATCAAGAGCTCATATTCTGAAGCAGTGCCAACGTATGATGAAGAGGCAATATGTTTCATTTAATCTCAAATATAAGTGAGATTTTGATATTTAAGAGCTGTAAAATTGGTGAAGTTATTCCTCTAAATATTGAAAATAGCTATTTTAAAAGTGCAACATTTAAAAATTAAGATTAATCTGCATTACCTCATTCCAAATAGAAAAACAACAGTGAGCCATGCATTGGTGTGTTAAGTCTGAATGCAGAGGACATCATCTGAACTTTCCCTTAAAGTAATGCATTCTTCTATTATTTTGCCAATTTTTAAATATGAAAATTGTGGCACTTGAGATTGTGAGAAGTTATACTGAACTTTCAAAGCATACTTGTGTGACAGACATTTCCAATGTTAGAAGTGTATGTGGTGTGGTTAATAGATATTTTCTTTTGTTTAAAGTAGGAGGTGAGTTTGTTAATTTGTAGTCAAATTGATATGCAACTATTTCAGGCTTACCTTCAGAATAATTATTCACTCATTTCTTTGTGTATTTATTCTATATGTTGAAATTTAAAGAATTGCATCATAATACTTTACTGCTTGAAGTTCATTTTTATTGCAATTCTATTCTGAAGATAATTCATTTAAAATGATTTATTTAATTAATAAAATTAATATAATTAATAAATTTAAAAATACATGTAACAATCTTATTACTTTTTATGCCTTGAGATATATATATATATATATATATATATATATATATATATATATATATATATATATATATATATATATATATGTACTAATGACTAAGATATTGATGGGTATTAGAATATATCCTTTTTGTTGCATGCCCTTCCTAAGATAGTGTTTTCATTTTTTAAAATCATTCCTAGTATATAAAATAAAAACAAGGTTCACTGGATACTTCGTGTTTGTCATTAAATCTTGTGTTAATTTAGTATCTACTCTTAGAATTTATTAATTCTAATTTTTAAAAATGGTTATAATTAATTTTATTGATGAAAACGGATGTAATGCTTATCAGTGGTAAAGAATTAATGTGCTCAACTTATTTGTGGTGCTGTAAAAAGTCTTAATAATGTTATACTATCTAAAACTGCATGAAGTATGTGTTGCAGTTCTATTATATTGTTGTGTTTAGCAATTGACCTTTATTTTTTGTCCTTTTTCACTAAAATATTGCATGTAAAATTCTATTCAAGGGCAACTTACTTTTACTAATAACTTATTTATGAGTACAGATGAAATGTTCGAACAAATTCTCGAATTTGACATATCTTGATATTTCACAAAATCAGAAGGTTCAGTACGTGTTGTGAAATAGTAACTTCATTTATAAAATGCACATTTTAATTTGTTGCTATTATCTCTAAATGAACTGTTGGATTCTGTGTTAATAGTCTTATGACATCTAATGTCAAGATGGAATGCAATATGATCAATTTGTAAATATGTACAATGGTGATGTGTCAGTTGCATAATAAAGTCATAATTAATACTGTTAAAGTAGATTCAAATAATTTTATTCTTATTGTTATAGAAATCTGATGTTAGTTTGTCACTCATAATGTTACTTGTTGGCTGTATGTACTTGGAAACGGTACTTTATTGTGATATTATCAAATTCTAATATCTGCAAGTATCAAATTATCTATAATACATGTAGAAACTAAATTACTTCTGTAGTGCCATCTGTGAAAATATTTGTGTTACTAACACATTAACGTGCATTTTTAACAATGTCAGAATTAGGTCAAATGCTGTATGTTAGATTCAATATATTCTTATCCCAGTAAAAGAAAGGTTGATGAAACATTCCTGTTCTTTCAAAAATGGAATGCAGTGTATTTCCTCTCCATTTGTGCTTGCAAAGCAAATTGTTTCACCTTACTTGAAGTGGAGTCAAAATAGATTGAAGGAGTTTTAATTCTTTCTCATCAGAAGGTATGTCAAAAATTAAATGTAAAATGATAACGAAGAAAACTAGTCGCGTTACAATGTGAAGAACATATAAGAAAGTACATACTTTCTCACATTTGTAACAGTTATGTCAAATTGTAATACCGCAATGTCTGTCCATATTAACACATCTCAGCCATAACTTGTAAAACTTGTTACTAATCAGAACGCATGAAGGCAAAAACTTAATTCATTTGAGTCTAGTACATCAATACAAATTTGACAATTGAAAACTGCATTCCATTCACCGAGAAACACTGCCCAACAATGAGACTTTTTTGAGAATTTCAAACTGCAGCTGAGAATTTCTAATTTTTGATCTATTTTTGAAGAACAAATTTCTCTAAATGAAAAATCTGGCATCAATATAGTTGTTGTGCAATATTTAATATTTGAAATTTTGTAAAATTCTCAAATGGGACCATCGCTATTGTTTCAACCTTGGTTTGTTCTATTCCTGAAAAAATTAAGAAAAAATTTGGAGTTTTTTTTTTGAGAAAATAATTTTTCAAAACCTCCCTATACTTCAAGCTTAATTTTGCAAAAACTACTAAAAGATTGAAAACTGTAGATGACCTTATTTAAAGATTCAACTTTGTAGAACAGATTTCAATTCGATAAATTGGTCTTACTTTAATATTGTAGTTATAGAAAAATTGCCATATTTGCTGCAGATAATACTTCCTTTACACTACATAAGAAGTATGTGAGAAAGTGAAAATGACTCCACTTCAAGTAGTGCTTATAAGTGAAATAAATGTGACTTGATAAGAAAGTGAAAAAGAAATGCATTGTATTTGGGAGAGATATATATACAACAGAGAGTAGAATATTTCAGTGAAGGACATGAAAAAGCAGTGTTTTTCAAGTCTCAACTCTCTAACAAGTTTTTTGTTATTAATTTGTGATTGATTCAAAACTTTTAGTTCTTGAAATACAGAACTGTGTAAATTGCTGGAAAACTTGAAGAAGTAGTTATGTGAAGGAGAAACCAGTAATGTTACCAAATACTAACCAAATATGATTGGCAAGACTTCTTTTTGATTAAAAATCAGTGACAAGTAAATAAAAATGACGTATATTAGTGTTATATTTACATTATAGACGGAATTTTTATACATTTAATATTTTGACATTTTATGAAAAGGATCATGAAAAGGTATTGTTATTATATATATATTGTTATATAGGTATATTTGACCGCCATTTTCTAACTTAAATATGTTTTTTGCAAAGAATGGTTGTCTTTGGGATTGTTTGCACTATTAGTTCAGTTTTTCCTAGTTGAAAATTGAAAGTTTGTGAGAATGCATTTTAATTTTAAACATTGTGCATTGCATGTCAAAGGAAATTGAATTTCATTTTGTGCACAAATATTAATTACCAAAGAAAAATGCATTTATTAGTCATAATATTGCATGTTACTGTCAAACGAATTCATTTATGATACAAGTTTTAATATTGCACTTACAGTATTTTACATTATTAAATGAGATTTTTATTCTCTGGTGGAGCATAATGAAAACCAATAGGGAGCACCCAGTGAAAAGGTAAACGAGTTGATGGTAGGCCTACTCTTTAGGGGCCCTAGGCACAACTGAATTAAAGGGCTCCCCTAATAATTTTGAATAAAACATATTCAAAATGAGTATGAAAATGAACTCTCACCTTTTCCACTTGAATATATATATTTTTTAAATATTTAACTAATATAAAATTTTGTTTAACAAATTATTGTGGGCTACCATCCTGCAGGAGTCCTAGGCATATACTTAGTCTATTATGTATTAATCCAACCATGGTGATGCTCTATATTAATGAAAAAATACTTATTTTGACTTTGGAAGTTATTTCTGAAAATAATAAGTTTAGAAGAGATTGTTTAATTATTCTCAATTTTGTTGTAACAGCTAATTATTATCTAATGTAAGTGTATAATATGTAGTGCATCTTACTGTTTTTCCTCATTCTTCCCCTTTCTGTTCAGAACATGATCATGTCATGTTGATTTTCAGATTTTACATTTGGGTTCAGAGAATGTTTGGTAAAATACATTTCTTACAAATTGTTTGATAAGATCTTTAATACTTCCATGTCTTCCATGTTTTGGCTTGTTGTTGGCCATTTAAAGTATGAACTATTATATTATTCTCAATTAGCAAAAATTTTTTGACTGGTGTAAGTAGACAAAATTTTAACAAGGGTCTTTTGCCATACATGTTGAAAAAGAATGAATTTTTTTTGTTCTAGAACAGTTGCAGATAAGAAAAAAATAATTAAGAATGTTCTTGGTATTGTTTTCATGCCAATTATCCTGGAAAATCAAAAGTAGATTCGTTTATATTCAGCATCAGAAATTTTGATGATGTAAACTATAAATTCTTTGTAGTATTGCTTCTTGTACTGTAAAATAAATTTGGAAGCCTAATCAGTTCCGTAAATGATATGCCTTAAATATAATTTAGAAAATAAATTTTGTTTGAGAAAGGAGTGTGGTAGGGTAATTTATTTATTAAAAGATTTATTCAAATAATCTTTTTCCACTTTGTAAAACAATAATTTTCAATATAAATGAAGGAGGTTTTGCAATCCTCTAATACTACTTTATAGTTTCAGCCTTCCTCTTCTTATATTGATTTTCATACTTGTATTGAGTTTGTTTCATTGCTATTTTTGTAATTGTAATTGTTCCCTTTTTGAATTTTTTTTTAATAGTTAACAGACAAAAAAAAGTTGATGTTTAGCTTCAGGCAGTGTCTTTTTCACCCAGTATATTCAATTGTATTGTATTTTAGAAAATGTATTACATCTTAGATGTACATCCAGGAACTGCCTAAAGGGGAGAGTACATGTAAGAGCAAAAACACTTTTATGGAAAAGTTTCATTTGTGATCATTGTGGTTCAATCTTTTATGGTTAATGTAATAGGTAAAGAGCAAATGATGTACTATTGTATAGTAAATTTAATAACCTACTGATCTATTGTCAAATTTGAATTAAATTGAAAAGGAATACAACATGGAACATATTTAAACATTTTTGGGTAAAGAGAAGATGCACGCCCTTGAGGTCCACCCTTTGAATCTGTCCCTGAATCATTTAGAAAATGGTACTGTCTTTTAGAAAACGGAGTTTAGGGGAGTATATTTGGGAGTGACAGCAGCTGATTACTTGATATTCATCAGCTGGACAGAAATATCTTTCTTGATTATTGAAATTTGAACTTGTTTCGCCAATCAATATATTTTTTATATGTAATACAGGCTTTTCATAATTCCTGTAACAATGCTTTTTATTTTATTTATCAGTTTATCAATGTTTTTACATACTTTTAAATGAAAGTGCAATGAAATATACTTCATCTTTAAATCATAATTTTAGATCATATATTCAATTTGAATCTCATTTTAACTTTTAATTTTTGTTTATTACTGTTTTATTCTCAGAAGTTATGAATTTGTGTTGATAAAAACTTCGAAATACATGGGAGTTCAGCAGTGTCAATAAAGTCTTCCCATTTTTGACTATTTGGTGCAAATTCATGTACTGCCGTCCCTTTTGTGCCTTGTTGCTTTGTCATCAATACAGGAGTCATAAGAATTTTTTCTTTCAAATTTTTCATCTTCTTTGTTGCTGAATATTGTTTTATAAAAAAATGACATTTCTTGTGTAGTAAATTTTATTTATTATTGAAATTATTTCAGTTTTAACCAAATCAGTAGAGAAATTATTTACTATTTTGTGAACAAATGTATGTGGTTGTATTTTTACATTTATTCAGTGTACCTTATTTTATTAGTTTTGTGACATTGCTCCCAATAATATTGACAACTTACTGATGACAGTATTCAGTTGATGAGTAACTTTGTTACTGCTCATGATGTGAGTGGACTGATTTTAATGTAGAATGTTCTTTTATCATTGTGAAAATAATCTACTATGTAATACTAACCTTTGTACTTCAGAGAGGACTTGTGAGTAGATATAAATACAAAAACCCCTTCTGTTTTTTCCCCTCTTAGTGTGTAGTATAATGCAGCATTTCTGTAGCTTCATTATTGCTTAAGTGCCATATGCCTAAAAGTAATGATGTATGTATGTGAACAATGTGTTTATTGTTGTGTGTGTATATATATGTAGAACTCTTCATTTATAAATGTAATTTATATTCAAATTTGCCTGGTGCAAGATATATGTTTTATAATGATATGTGTAAATTCTGATTGTCCTTGATGAAGGGGAATATACTGTTTAAAAAATAAAGCATGAATGCTGTACTTCACATGTAATATGACGTTTAATTGGTTAAAAATTAAATGTTATTTTGATGGTAATAAAACTTTTCATACAATACAGTATTTTTGTATCTTTCTTGAAATGTTTTCCATCACAATGTTTGTTAAAGTAGGCTTGTAGTTAAGTGTTGTTTAGGACATTAGGCAGTCAAATATTTCATTAAAAATGTTCAAAACTGCTTATTCTATTAAAAATATTGAATTAATTAAAGGAAAATTACTACATAGATTCAATAAATAAAAATATGGAATAAATATATGTATGTTCAATTTTCTATGGATATTCCACAAAACAATTGTGCCACAGCACAACTGTGTTTCCAAAAAGCATATCCTAAGTTTGCAGGCTCTAATGTGCTATCCCCGCCCCTTGATTAATGAATTGCTCAGACTGGTCCAAGTGCTGAAGAACAATAAAAAGTAAGAACATCTTTCTGATATTTCACTTCAGACAGTGCCCAGAAAGTATGGGTGGCCCTGATGTGTCATACTTTCATTGTGTCAGCAAAACGAATGCTACTGCATTCTCTTTAGGGTCCTGGGAGTGGAGAGCCCTACTTACCCTGCTTCTGAAATAAAACACGTGTGAAGAAACCAGAGGAAAGTTTTGCAGAGCTCAGTCTGTATGCAAATGTAAGGAGGAGAGTGTGAAAGAGATGAATGAAACAATCGTAAGTGCATTGTGCAACATGAGTAAATTAGTTGAGTAGCAACATGAGTTTAATTAAAATAATGTTTAGCCAGCCTCCATGATGTAGGCGATTGCCGCAGACGATGTCTGCCCTAAGGAGGCTGCAGATTCGAGTCCTGCATAGGCATGGTCATATTTGTGATTGTCCTTTCACCCTTCTTCATCATCCTATCACCTCATAATTCAAGGCGTAACAATCTTGTCTTACCAAGAGATGCAGCTGAAAAAAGCTGATCCTCATAATCTCCTCGGAATAAATATGACTGAGCCTCGGAAGATAACATGTAGCATGACCGTAAATGGCTGAAAGCCAAGTATATTAATAATTACATTAATTTTGTCCATGAAAATTGTTTCAAACAATGAATGATAAATCAATTTGCACTAGTATTACATTATTTTACAATTTCTATACAGGTATTAATTTTTTTGAACATACAATTACTTAATTACTTACAATCATACACTTTTATATGCAACATTAATATATTTAGTATTTAATTTTTAGATTGTACTTAATACAAATAGGCTTACATTATATTTTACATTACTTAGTATTAAATACTACATTATCCATAAATATACATATAATAATAATAATAATAATAATAATAATAATAATAATAATAATAATAATAATAATAATAATTATAATAATAATAAGTAATAGTAATAATAATAAATTTGTCAAATACTTTGCTTTGGATTAATATTGTATTAACGTATATTCTGATACAAAATTAACAACATATTTTATGCATGCTTACAATTACATAAGCAACATATATTTACATTCTCATGCTTAATATATGTTGATTGGAAATACGGAATAAAGTGCATACTGGCAAGTATACGTGATCCCTTTTTGGGAGGATCAGCATTATGTTGAATCCAATTTTCATCCCACGGGGTTGCTAGGACTGGGGATATGTGATATGGAATAATGATAATCACGGATGACTGCACGACCCAAACACGCCTCCTGCCCGAGGCGGGACTCGAACCCGCAACCCGATAATGACGGAAGTCGGAGATCGCCACGGCACTACTGCCTTAGCGATCTCGGCTATCGGGATCGGCAATATTATTGTTGTATCGTTTTTCGAAATTTCATGCTCGACAGGAATTTCCAGATGGAGTTTCTTCGAAGCGCTGTTGCAAATCTACCATGGAGTTCCTTTGATCTCTACTGCTCAGGTCGTTTCTCTGGTTTCGGAAAACTTGGATTGTGGTCTTCTTGGAAAAGCTTAAGAGGTGTATAAACGTGATCTTGTGCACAGATGGCCGCCATAGGTTCGTTGTTGATGAAATAATATCTGAGCTTTTTTTCTGGTGGCACATAACTTGAAGACTTCAGTCCACGTCCTCCGTGGTGTCTTGAAAGATATAGCCTTTCGGTGGAACTTCGAGAATGATGCATTCGATACTTTGATAGAAGTGTTCTAACTTTCCTATCGAAAGCTTGCAAAGCTGTCTCAGACCACTTGACAACTCCAAATGTATGTGATGCTGCTGAGAGAGCCCAGGTGTTAATTCCTGTAAATTTGTTTCTTGAATTAATACAGGACTTGCAGATTTTCGTAGCACTAGAGATAACATTTCTTTCCACTGGTTTTCTTATTTTCTCATCTAGAGTTCCTAGGAGCTGCTGGAGGCCCAGAAACTTATATTCATCGCCTTTGAAAAGTTCTTGAATTCTCAAATCTTCCATCAAATGAAGTTCATTCTCTGTATTCTGGACGCGACCTCTCTTCACGTGAACAACTGTACACTTCTTCTAATCAAGATCTATACAAACAGAGCTGCTGAAACAGCTGACTTTTCCTTAAAGCACTACACTGCTATTTTCACAACTCTGCTCCTGGCAGGTATCAACTGTTGACAGTTTCATCCAATTGAGAGCTTGAACGTCACTATGGTGACGTTCGCGGAAAGAACCGTTGGGACCAATTGTCCTCTTCCGCTTCTTGACCCGTTCGACTTCGCAGAAGTCCATTAGCATCCATAGAATCATCATTGCTATTGAAGGTCCTGGGGGCACGGCGGAAATGTAAGTGTCGTGCTTGTGTTTTCCTTGTGATGTGGCGGTGATCCCCCGCTGGATGGTGAGATCCATGGCCTACATGTCGGCTAGCTGGATTTTTCTCCATTAGCGGGGCACCGCCCCAGTCGGGATAAACTCCCGGACAAGCTCCCGACTTGTGTCCCAGCATACGTGATAGTGTGGCAGAGCGTTTGCCAACTGGACAAGAAATGACGTCGGAGCAGCCTTCCCCTTCGTGATAAGGAGCTCAGAGAAGCGGTGAAAGCAAATGGGAGAGGGAGGGATCGACAGGCTGACTAAAGCCGTTGACTAAAACCTTGGCAGTGGGCCATTACCGGTGTTTCAGGCAGCATGAGTGCGAGACATTTACGCCCGTTATTTTTTTCGATTGGGAAAAAATATTTATTTTTGTAGATACTGGAACAATGGCGAAGTGTTTAGTGTGTTCGAAATAATTACAGTGTGTTGGAAAGTTCAACCTACAGAAGCATTACGCAGCTTTGCTATCCAGAGAATCCGGCGAGATAATTTCTGAGAATTGGACAGGTAGCCTACAATCATGTGGTGGGGAGGATTTTGCAGATAGAAGATTATGGAAAAAGTTCTGTAAAACATGAAGATTTACAGCATTCTCTAACAAAACTGTACATGAAATAATCAATTCTGGGATCCAGAATCTCCCACAAGACCCTTTCCCTGATATATATTCGTTAACGTTAATTATTATTTCAGAAAATTCGAAATTCGTTATGATATATACTGAAGAGCCAAAAAAACTGGTACAACCATGCGTATTGAAGTAAAGAGACCCGGAACCAATCGGCGCTTGGGTCGGCAACGACTATACAAGACCACCAGTAGTTAGATTTGTTACTGCTGCTATAATGGCATATTATCACGATTTAAGTGTGTTTGAATGTGGTGTTATTGTCAGCGCAAGAGAGATGGGGCATGGCATCTCCGAGATCGCTATGAAATTCACATTTTTTTGCGAACTCTGTATGTTTGAAAATCGCAAACAAAAATAACTTTGCAAAACTATATTATTGAAAACGAAAATTTTTCTTAATGCTGTTTAAAACTAGATCTTGAAATAATGTAAATGGAAATCTCTGAACTTTTGAAAATTGCAAATGGAAATGCTATGCTAATCTCTTAGCAAAGGCCGAAGCTCATTTTTGAATGCCCTTCTCTTTTCCTGGCAGATAATTACGATAGTGGGTTGCCTTTACTTTCTTTTGCGTGAAAGATGGTATGGTGATCATGAAGTTTTAATGATGGTTATTGATGGGGTGTTTGCTAAATTAAGCCAACCCCGACACAGTCACGTAATAAAATCATTATGTCCCAAGGAACTGTAGTCTGCCGCCTTCGGCTCGACGTATTTATTCACTGCTACAAGCCTATGCGCCACCAGGCCGGCAAAATATATTTATAATCACTTTATAATTTGGTTTTCTTCGTGGGTTCAACGAAAAATATTTTGCACGCTTGTCACTAGTTGAAGGGCGATAAAGTGTCTTTTAATTGAGGGCATGTATAAAGAAAAAAGTATGTAAATAAGATATGATAATAAATTATTAATATTTGTAAAGGATAATCTTAAGCATACATTTTTTAGTCGTCGTTTCCGCCAACTTATTTCCAGCGCTAAAACTTTTTCGCAGTAATCGATGCTAAGATATCGATATTTATTATTGATATCGACATTTCCATTGTTTGAAGAAATCGAAACGGGCTATGGACGTGACAGGGACGTGATACGGGCACTGCTCTTCAAATGGTGTTTGCATTTTTATTTTGTTTTTTTCTGTTCATGGCATTATAAATTTGGGAAGTTGTGTGCTTGTATTACCACGGAAATAATAACATCAGTTTAATTCGTTTTTGACATGCTTTTGTTGGTTGTGCTGTAGTGTCTCCCTTTCCCCTAGAATGGGTTGTTACTTTCATAAAGCAAGATTTGACAGCCGCAAGGCAGATAATTCAGAAAAGAAAGAATATTCATGGTTTGTGTTTGTTATTATGCACATTTGAATTATTATAATCTATAGTAACAGGTAAATTAAAGTGTTTGTATGTATGTAGGGACAAACGATGCAAAGTTAACAGTTCTGATTACCTAGTTCAAGATATTATTGATAGCGAAGTTGTTAGATTACCAGGATCTGTGAATGGGCAGCAGTTTATTATACAAAACTGCAAAAATTCTACGTTTTATATTTTGGACCATATGAATGCTGTGGTAATTGATGATTGCCTTGATTGTAAAATTGTATTGGGAGCTGTTAAAGGAAGGTATTCAAGTATGATTTTTCATTGCTAATAAAGTGCTTTCACCATAAGCTTAACATACAAAACTGTGTTCATGCATGTTTTGGTTTATGTATAATATGTAATAATATTGTCATTGAAGAAAATTGTTGCGACTGTGAATGCACATGAATGAATCTGCTTTCACATTTTCTTTGTATAATCCTTTATGTGTTTTTCATTCATTAAGACTGAAATTATCCTTTGAATTTGGAATACTTAAATGCATGAAGTAATATGTGAACTAACATTGCCTTTTTGTGTGTCAAAGTATGGTGTAAGTGCAGGGTTATCCTATTTCTCTTTGTTATAATTTTGCAAAGTATTGCATGCCATTTTTTATAGCTTTTTCGGAGCTTGTTATTTTGAACTTAACTTCAGTAGCACATTTCTGTTCTTTTATTTTTAGGCGAGGTTTTTTTTTTTTTTAGGCAGGTATTTATTTATGAAGTAATGCTTTTTGAAACATTTTTGGCTTTCAAAGACATAATGGAAATATTGATACTTTTGTATTAATTTTGTAATATTTCGTAATAAAATTTTGAATAACATTTGTAATACATTTCTTATTTTTCAGTAGATTTTGTTTGCCAATCTTGTTTTAAGATTGTAAAAAGCAAAAACACTGAAATGTGATAATATTACTGTATTATCATCTTGTACTGAGGGTTAATAGACAAGTTGCCTGTTTTGATTTTTTACTAGATATGACGAGTAACCCTCCCCAAAGTTTCATGATTTAACCATATTTATGGTCTCACTACATCTCTTTACCTGTTGTATACCTCAACATTTGTCTCTTCTTTCTGTTGATATAAATAATTTCTTTTGACACTCCCTTATCTGTTCTTCATTATTTACCTTCAGCCTCTCTTTGATATTTTTAATTCTTTGCCAATCCATCAGAGTGACTCCTGCAAGGAGGGAATCTCATCTGTGTGTCTTTAGCCTTTGACAATCCTTTTTTCATTGTTCAAATTTCTAATCCAAATACAAGTATTGGCAACGGTGTCATGTATTCTTAATTTTGTTTCTTGTGACACCTTTTTTGAAATGTCATTTGATTCTTCCATTTGTTGTTGTTTGGTGAACATTCTTGTGCACACACATCATTGAGAACAAATCACAATCAGTTGAGCGTTAGGTGCACATGTAGTTACTATGCAGTAAGCTAATATGTATCTCTGCACCTTTATCATAAATGTAATATAAAAAGTAAAGTGTTTTAAATAGGCTGCTTTGGATGTAAATTAAAAATGCATCATCTTGTCTAGGCCTGCATCAGTATATATATTCAGTAAGATTTTTTTTGGTTTAGCTTTTCCTTTTCATGCATTTTTCTTATTCTTTTGCACCCCTGTTTTTTTATTGTGACTGGTTGGGCCACACATATTGCATCTGACTTATAATTCTAAATTGTGAATTATGGTAGTAACATTCAAGGCTTTGGGCTCCTTATTTTCTCATGTATTTTTGATATGGCTGTGTTATGCTCCACTCAGTTTTCTTTTGGCTGCATGTAGTGCCAGTGAAACTGCATTTTGTATTTTGGTGATTACTTTCAAAAAAGCTTACTTCACAAATTAAGTATAATAGAAGTACTGTAGAAGGAAGACAAGATAAACAAATTCAGTAATATTATTAATTGAAGATTTGAATTTATTTACATTATGAATAAATGATAAAGCGTTGTAAAATACTTGTACATACATAATGTTCTCAAAAACAGTTAATGTGATGATTATCGTAGACGATCAGCCATGTAGGTAAATGCTTGTAAAAAGTGGAAACCATTAATTAAGTATTAAAAATTATTTTATTTATATTTATTTGGTTCTTTACATTTGCCGTTATGGAAGTCAAATTTTTACACATCTTCATTGCATTCTTTTGGGTGAAAATAATATGTAATTTGATTTCTTTAAATCATTATTTGTAATTACCTTCTTTAGTACTTCATTGTTTTTTGGTTTTGAATTTTATTTGTAGAAAAGGAAATGGAAGTTTTGTTTCTTTGAAGTTCTACAAACAAAATCCAAGTGTCTTTTATGTTAAGAAATTTTATCTGTGAAGTGTGGAGTACAAGACGGTATTCATGTGTGTGCTTCAGTAAGTTTATGTATTTATTATGAATTGCTATTAAGGAAGGTTATTAGATCAGTTTCGTCTTTTTAAATTTTCACACATAAATACTGATGTAAACATACTTCCCAGGTATCATTAAAATTATTTTGCCAGTTGTACTGTTTCAAACTGGAGAAATAAAAGACTAGTTATCTCTCTGAGTGTTTTTTTCATTCTCATTGCACACTACACCCTTCCACATTTTTTTCCTTTATATTGCACGAGTAAGCTTTGCTGCACATCACATCATGACACTGCAAATTGGAAAGTATTGACAGCAAAATTAAAAATGTCTATAAATGCAATGTACATACTACTTTGCAATAAAAAGTGGTTGCTTAAATATTTAATGGAATATTTTAAAATATATCAGTGAAAGTATGTTATCATGTTTGCATAAAGTAAACAAGGGACTCATTAGCCTTCAGTTGCAAAAAGAATCGGAGAAAGATATTAATTGAGTATGTAAAAATTATTCTTAAACAGTAGTGAACTATTATGAAATATCTGGCTTAATAATTGCAATGAAAAGTAAAATTTACTTTCTCCTTTCTCAAAGAAATTATGATTTGAATCCAATGAAACAGTCAAGCCACATCTTCTTGGTGTGGTTGTCAAACACGAGAACCATAAAACACATATCGTTACCACTCATATTAGCTGGTTCTACCTGAAAATTGTAATTTTTATTGCCATTAACTTGAGTAATACCATGAATAGGGAAAGTAACTATACTGCTCTGATTGAAAGATCAGAAAGAGTGAAGTATTAAGCATTACTTTTTTGTTTCACAAACAAGCCATTACATTATCGGCGGCGATATTGTAACGGTTAATGTAAACGTAGCTGTTATACCCAAGTTGGCGGGTTCAAACCCGATTGAAGCCGTGGATTATTAAGGGCGAAAAAATCCTTGGGAGGGGAAGTAAAGCCTGCTGTCCCATGTTAGTAGATTTACTTGCATGTAAAATATCCTCAAGCCTAAATGGCGCCTCCGAGCTAAATTCAAAAATCGCCTGTTTCGTCGCCCAAGAAATAACTCCTTTCTTCGCTACTGCGTAAAAGGAGCGTAGCGAAATTTGCGTGGTCAGACGGAAGAGCGGGCCTGATGGCCCGAGTCTCGCCACGAAAAATAAGGCTTCCATTCAATACGTCTTTCAATAAAAGACATCTCCCCTTTCTTTCTTAATAATTGTGAACAATACAAGACCTTGCCAGAAGGATGTTGATGTAATAATTGGTATTCTTATTGTTGCTCCAATGACTCATCCTAAACATATTTAAGATACATTCTATATTATATGGTTTGTGGTAAAAAGGGAAAAACATGTTAAGTGGACTAAAGATAGAATTCTGAAAACTTTTAACACAGGAATTAATCCTATTTCTTCTACTAAGTATTAAATTAATTTTCCTGCCCTTATTTGTCCCCAACTTGGTGTTTTTATTTTGATTTTGGAGGGCTTCCAATAAATTCCAAGTACTTTCGTATTCCGTATTTAATTCAGCATTAAACATTCAACCTACATGCCTCCAGTTTACACATTGAAATAAATTGATATTTCTCATTAAATAGTAAGCATTGCTTAAGAAAGAAAATTTAACTAATTGCTTCACTTATAAAATTTGAGATCTGTGAATCATGACATATTGTATATTTTTTTAATTGTTTCCTTGAATATAATTTTCTTGATAAGGTTATAGGCTTATTCAGGTTTTGTGTATTTTCTGTTCTGTTTAATGTTTGCTCAAATGCTGTTTTCACTGTTAATGTTTTCACAATGTTTTTTGAATGTTCCTAATCTTGGTTTGAATGATCAAATTACTACTGTTAAAACTTTTGCAAACTTCTCAAGAAACACCAGTTTTGTTTGTTCACACTAAGTAATATGCTACAGTATCTCAAAGACATTTTTGTTTATTTATTAATAAACAGTTTCCATTGAAAACCTCTGTTTATATATTTTGTTCTAGTGTTTTCTTACGAGATTGCAAAGAATGTGTTTGTATTGTGGCTTGTGGGCAATTTCGTGCTCGGGATTGTAGGAAATTGGATATTTTTTTATGCTGTCCCACTAGACCTGTACTTGAGTCATCTGGAAGCATTCATTTTGGATGTTATCAACTGTTTTATTCAGGACTTGAAGGTATAATGTTTTTTTGGTTTTTTAAAATGAATAATTGCAGTGTTCAAGAGGCAGACATCCTCAATTATAACAAGTAATTGAAAATAGATACACCATATTATATTTTTCTAAGAATATCATGAGATGTCATTTAAATTCTTGCAGATCATTTTTCTAAAACCAACTTAAGTGCTTTTAATAATGAGTGGAGTAACATTCATGACTTCACTCCTATTGATGGTGAAGATAATTGGTGTCTTTTACCTGATACCTTAAGTATAAATGATTACATCTCAACTCCAGAGTCAGAAAAGACAGCACAGTGAGTACAAAATTGGAGAAGTATATGAATTATATGATTCTTTACAGAAGCCTATTACAGTTGTTTTTACAGATTAGGGTTAACATTTTCTGCTGAGAAAAGTGTAGTACCCCATACATGGGGACCGCACAAAATAATTTCTGGGCAGGTGTGCCTAGTAATATTTTTCTATGATGGACACCAAAGTTTGCGAGTCAACAAATTTATAAACAAAATGAAGATGGACAATGTAATGATAAGTATTTATACAGTAGGCTCGCGATTATCTGAGTCCCCGTTATCCAGGACTGGAGGCTCCTGGTTACAGTCAGATAAAACAGCAACAGAATAGTCCATTGAAAATCAGAACACTAAAGCGTTCTATAAAGTAGGAGCGGCAGTTGCAATCCATGGCACAAGTCTTTGGCATGTACGTTGGGCATTGCTGATGGTTATTGGGATCCCGATTTCAAAAATCATCGCAGTGGAACGTTTATCATTTGTCATACGCTCTCGTAGTTGTCTCCGTGACTGCAGCAACTGCGTTTATTCATTTATATTGTGCCCTGTATATTGCATTTTTACAATGTAGATAATCCTTTATCAAAAATAAATGTATATACAATTCATTATCAAATGATCTCTGAATTATCCATGTTTCTTCGTATCCCAGGTAGTAGCGGTCCTTATTACCAAATTCGATCGAGACGCATAGTATTTACTATTACTACCTCGGATAATCGCGTGTCTACTTTATTTTTTGTTAGCTCCACAACTTTTCCTTCCTAAATTTTTGTATGTAAATTATTTCAAGAAAACATATTTTTCAGTTAGAATTATGAATCAAAGCTTCCAAATATGTTTGCTGTCAATAACTCTTTATTTTAAAATACTAGTACTACTAGTTTTCTATATAATTTGAAACTCTTTACAAATCAGTTTTCTTTATTTATTAAAGACCTTTAATCTAGAAGAAAGACTAGGTCAATCTCACAAAAGAAACATGAAATTTTGTGATATTTGGGATGTTTATCTTCCAGAGAACTTGTAATTTCTGTTGTGTATTTCTGATATAGAATGTTTGGCTGTAAAATTTTGCAATTTTGAAAATTTACACTCATTTTTCACCTTTAGTTTATACTTGGTATTCTAGGAATTGTGTAGCATTTTCTGCATTGTTTTGTTTCTGTTTTGACTATTTTTCAGTATTCTTTACTTTTTTCATGTTGTAGTTCTTTTATTTCTAAAATTATGCTGCCACTTCTTATGTGTTTTTATGCTCACTTTGTGAAGCTCTCTTGAAGAGAATCTTCTAATTTTTTCCTTCCTAAATGTATCTAAAAATTATTTTCTTATTTTATTGGCTTTTCTTATTTGAATTTATTTTGATAAAAGGATCACTGGATAAATAAGTAATCTTTTCTGTAAAGTAAATTAGTGGTGAGGTAATCTCTAGATAGGAAATTGTGGGAATATATTAATTAGAAAGCATTGTGAAAAAATGTACCTATTCATGTTTGTCATTGAAAATATCATTGTGTTCATATTTACTGAGTCATGCCTAAATCACAAGGTAATTGCAAATTACTCAGTTCCCATCCTTACACAAAAATATCAACAACAAAAAACTCTGAAATGTTATTCTATTTGCAAAATCTTCTCAAATTAATCTAGTGTTACATTTATGTATAATTTTTTGAAAACTATTTTAAGATTGTTCATGTATCCAAAGAATTTTTTTAATTTATACTGATTTTATATTCTTAAAGAACTCTTTGAATTTGGTAAAGTTACATTGAAATCATTAAGATCAAGTTAATGATTTCAACAAAATGTTAATTTTCAGTAATTTTTTGTAGTAACTTCATATTCTTTCTAACTATTGTCCTGCTTTAATGATGCTCTGGGACTATAGCATTCTGTTTAACATAAATCTCCTTTAAAATGGTTTTTGCTTTCAATGCACACCCTTTTAATACCTTAATTTGTTTTTTGTACAAATACTTCATTTTTAAGTTTGGTATATAGGATATCAATAGTCCTAAGCAAATCCTTATTCTTAGTTTATTCCTCTCATTCAAATTTGTATGGAAAGGAAATTCTGTTTCTGACTTCATTTTGCTGGCAATGAAGAAGCATTAAAATTATTTTCAAACTCCCCAAAATAGAAGTTTTAGTGCACATTTATGATGGTTGAAATATTTGTTGAGTAATTAACAAAACTTGGGAAAGAATTGAAATGACAATCTGACTTTAAATGGCCATAAATCTAGTAAAGCCTCTAAAAAGGAAATAAAATGTAGTAGTAGTTATGTAGAAGATGAAACTATTTAGTAGTGTAGTAGATAATAATAATGTGTGAAAATTTTATGATTAAAAAGTATTTTGAGATACAAACATTCTCCTGTTCATTTTCTTGTTGAAAATAAAAACAGTTTGGGATACATGCAAAACATCTAACAACTCAAACTATTTTTATTAATTTAATAAAAGATTGAAAAGTCAGTGGTCAAGTGTGGCGAATATTGCCCATAAGAACTTAGAAGGCAGCTTGGTCAATTCTGGTAACACTAAAAGATTTCATAAATATAAGAAAAATCAATAGGCAGCCCAAGTAAGCATCCTTGCAATTATCCAAGATGTCCACTGAAATACTCTACATACCAAGCCACCTGAAATAGGTGAAGAATTTGCTGAAGAATTTTTAAATATTTACAATTTAAGCATATATAACATAACATCTGTAATTAAAATGTCATGACTTGCAAACGACATTACATCTACACATTTTAAACAAAATAAAGCCAGCAACATTCTCCAAAATCTATTGATTCTTCCCTGGATTCAATGAAATTCCAACAGTTGTTTTAAAAAATTTCATTTCATCTATTGAAGCAAAACTGATGACTCAATTATTTGACTCTTCTCAGATTCATCACTTTAAAATCCAAAATGTAACTCCAGTATACAAACATGGAGATGAAACTCTTCCTTCAAAGGTCAAATTATCAACTGATATCATTTATGTCAATCATCTTTAAATGTATGGAGAAACTACATTTTTTTTTACTATCAGAGAATTCTTTATTGAGAAACATCTGGTATCTGGTGGCCATCATTGTTTCCTTTCTGACATCTACTGTGACAAATTTTCTGGGTATGTTTGATCTATTGGACAAAGGAGCCAAATAAAGGACAACAAATTGATATTATTTATTTTGATTATGATAAAAATGCATTTGATAAGATTCTACATAAAGTATTTTGCAACCTTGAGGCTTTCGAAGTAAGCTCTTGAGCTAAATTACTTTATTTTCTTGAAAACAGAACTTTGCAAAGTTATTTCAAATCCAGTTACAGTACATAGTTTGCCATCCCAAGGATCCATGTTGGGTCTATTATTTCCTATGATGTAGCTGATTGACATGGATAGAGAACTTTTATCAATTACAACATCCTGTGCTAATGGCACTAAAATTTATGGTATCCATTTACTTGCAATTTACAACACAAACTCAACAAAAACATGGAATGATCAAGAAAAGGGAAATATTTTGAATCCCACAAAACTTGTAGTTCTACTTCTAGGGAGAAATAATCCTCACACCTATTACGTTATTGGAAAAGGAAATAGCCCCTGTGCAGATATTGCTAAATGAATAAACAGAATCAAAAGATTTTCAGTTCAAAAAATTGGAATTATTTACAGAAATTTACAAAACTCATATTTACGCAGTACTGAAACATGGATTTCTAATCTGGCCTCCTCATTACACCAAGACATAGTTTTACTAGAGGAATACATAATGACTAGAAAGGAAGGAAAGAGTAAGGAGAGAAAAAACAATAACAAACAAACTTCAGATTATACAGTTTGAAACTTGAACAACTGGAGCTTCTTTAACTTACTACTTTGCAGCATAGACAAGCAATCATTGATTTTGTTTAAACAAAGTCATACACAATTAATGTAAGATACCTAACTTCCACAAGAGTTTCATCTTAAGCTCTAATCCATTCTTACAAGGCCACTTTTAAAAGCTAGGAATAACTCTTAGAATTCCCTCCCAAACTGTGTTGAGGAACCTGAGAATGTTTTCTGCTTTAAGAGGTAACTGCCAACCCACAGCAGTGTATACGTACTTGGTCCTGTGTACTGCAAAAATAATATTGGGGAGAACTGAATAGCTCCAGGTTTCTTATCCCTGGGAAACAATGTAATCTATCTCTATCATTTGTTCCTCTGACGATATTACTGCTAGGCCAAAACCAACAGTAATGTGGATAATTGCCTTGTTGTCAGTTTTTATTTGAAAATGGCTTGAACCAGATCATCATCCAGATACAGTTCTCATGGAACTCTTATACACTGGTGTACCAGAATAAATGTTACAAACTTGGGAAGGAATTCCCAATATTTTTCTTTTATCAATCTCTTTTAAAGGAATTGTTTGCTTCAATCCCGACCCCCTTCTATTATTCTCTATAATATACAGCATATTTAATCGTAAGACAAGGACACATCTTAAAGATAACAAATTCATACACCAATATTTTGGTAAATATCCATATTATCAATTATTGAAGGTGCTTTCATTTCTGAGTACATGAGACTCTTAATTGTTATGATGATTACAAAATGTTGAGCATTTTTTAACTGCCCTTAAGCTTTGGCCTTTCAATTGGCTTTAGTGTATATTGCAGAGAGTATTTTCTTTCACAACAGAGTATTATTGTGAATAGTTATAATTAGGGTTTAGGATTTTTAAATAACCAAAGCAGTTGCATAGCTAGGTTTTCAGATGCTCTGATGCAGGAAGCCAACATGGGGCTCCCTGCAGTGGAGAAAATAAGCCTGTAGTGCAATTTATTTTAGTCTGTGCCAATAAGTGTCCACAGGGATCATTTTTAAGGGGCCCTTACTTCCTGACCCCGGTGCAGTGTCCCTACTGCACTGGATGCGAATGAAGAGGAGCCGTTTTGTAATTTATTCTTAAATGTTTCATTGTTTTTTATCTGGAAACAATTCATTAACAAGTTTATTAAATTTTTTTGTAAACAACGGGATCTTGATTACACCTGTCAATCACTGGTCTGTATTCGGCTATAGAACTCGGATCAACCCCTTCATTGTCATTGACTCCTTTCAAATTTCATTGCCCTCCAAGAGTTCAAAACCAACCCTGTGCAGATCCATTGTTCTAGGTCCTGTAGAGGGCTTGAAAAGGATAACATTCAGTAGGTACAGATAAACTTGATGGAGGCAGAACATTACCCAACAATCATTGAGGAATTGCCTAAAAATGTAAACAAAATGTATTTTTTACGATAAGACAGACTTTAAGACATTAAGTAAGTGACATTTGCAGGCATTTTGGACTAAAATGGATTATAAAGTGGTAGAAATATGTACACATATTAAATAATAAATTTGAATAATAATTTTAATATTTTTTTATTAAATGCACACTTTTCGTGAAGAAATGAATAGTCAATTAAGACAAACAACAGCATATTTTACCAAACAAGCTATTTTATTTTTTCTCTCTTTTATTTTATTCAGTTCTCTATTTTATTTTTAATAATTAGAAGAAAGTTTTGACTAAATGAAAGGTCAAGTTCAAAACCACTATCTGGTGAATATATTTTCCTTAGAGGGTTTGTAAAACAGATCTAAGGCACATGTATGTTATTTTTTTATTAACAAAAGGGTACGTTCTTATTTATTACTAATTGTGACTACACAAAAAGTTTTCAAAGAATGAGATTGTAATTTTGAAATTTTTAGTAGCACATTAATGTGAAATATTTTGAACAAAATATTATCCCCATGTTCAAGAGTGGATTTGAATTTCCTTGTTAATTTTTATAAAATTATAATATTGTTCCAACTGAAATAATTTATACTTTGACATTCTCGTAGCCTGAATGTTTGCTGTTACTGAGTAAAGAGAAACAGATGTCATCTAGAGATGCAGAACTTGTGTTCAAGTCAAGTGCCTATAATAATGTTGTTACTGATGGCCATGTTGTTGGTTTGCAATTCTGTGGACCAAATTGTATTCAGGTGTGTGAGAAGGTGAGTTTGTGGTTTGTACAGAAAAACTAATTTGAGTTCACCCTTTTAAAACTAGTGTCTCTCTTGTTGTGGAAGTGTACTTTGTTCACAACTTTCTGTATATTATGTGAATTAGAAAATATCTGAAAGATGATTTGTGTTACATTATTACTTAGCTGTAGTTATAATTGAAATAAACATACTAACTTGATTGCTTTGTGAATGTATTAATGAGAAGATGCTGAAAAATATGAAGACTTTAAACTGTACTAAAGTTTCTTTTTATGTTGTAGATTATATCACGTTTAAACAAAGGAGAATCAGATTTAATCCATATCACAACAAATGTTACAACATCTCATCAACAAGCTGATTTGTTTTTTAATGCCAGTATGAATGCAATCTGTTCCTGAATTGACAAAAGTTGGAGAAAAACTCTTGATTGGCATGCTGCACTCTGTGCTGTATCATCTATTCACTAAATGTATCTATCTTGTCAATTTGTTGCAACGATGAAAATTTCTTTTTAATCTGAAAATGGTGCTTATTTGGTGGAATGTCCTCCGAACTCAACTTACATAAGGAATCTCTAGTCAACTTTTTATTTTTTTATAATTTATTTGTAATAATAACTGAATGTTGCTTCTTTTGTGGATTTTAAAATGTTGAAAAATCAATATCTGAATGTTATAAATAAGTGACATCTCAAAGAACATAAAGCAATGAAAATCTTACAAAAGGAATATGACTGAAACACTTGGCATACTGCTAATGTTTGTCATTACATTTTTAAATAATTACAATTTTTTAAAATGTGTAAAGCTTGAAAACAAAGAATATCAATTATTTTAAGTGATTATTTGCCTTCTGTATGGCTATTAATTGATTGATAAAAAAGTACATGTTTATGATATTCCTTATATAAAAACCACATAAATAATATAAATCTACATTGATGAAATTAGCAGAATCATAAGTGAAAAGTATATGCATTAAAGAAGACTCAGGGCAAGGTGTCTTAATACTACATTTTAAAATTGTATATATACTAGGCAAGGTTTCTGTAAAGAAATGTGGTGAAAACTTGTCAATTTTGTTGAGAATTTGGACCGAGTTGTGATTGTATTATATCATTTCATTGAAGTAAGGTGTCATTCTGTTGCAATTATTGTACTATTATATAAAACATTTTAGAGACACTTCAGTTTTAGAATTGAATTTATTACATCACTATGTAAGATATGAATCTGTTCATTTTTTGCCATATAATATTTAGGTTATAGAATTTGATACACAAATCAAAATCAGTATTTTTCAATGCAAGGAATATTTGTTTAAATCTATATTTTTAACTGAATCGCAAATTTACGTTTTTTGTTTCCTTAGCACATAGACTGACAAAATAAATTATTTTCCCTCATTGTTCTTCTTTAGATTTATTTATTTTGCAATTACAGCCATAAAATATTTTGTTTGTATATTGTATTTGTAAAATTCTTTAATTCCTCTTCATTACAATTTGAATATCTACTTTTATATCAAAACTTATGGGACCAGCATGTACTACTTAAGATTACACACAAAGGCATGAAGAATTTTTCAAATTTTTAACGAGACATTTAATTTCAAACACTTTTTTTTTTTCTCTCCAACGTACTAAATCGTGATAATCGGATGTGGGCCTGGGCTATCTTAATAATTTACATTCATTCTCCTCTTCGGTCATCATCTGGATAATTTTCATCTTCATCAGGTTAAACACATTTTGACCCATTTTGTTCTTGGCTCTCTCACATTTTTTACTACAATAATTTCATTTTCAAATACATATTAACATTTCTTTCCAAAAGAGTGAGATGGACTCATTGCATAATGGCTACTGCATACACCTTTCACTATTGGGATCTAGTTTTGGATCCTGGTCAATCCGTATAGAGTTTACAGTGAACAATGTGAGCTTTCCAGAGATTCTCCCATTTTCTCCTGCCTCCTGGCTGTGTTTGTCTATCAAACTAGAAATACTAGGATTACTAGAAAAGAGACAGGTGCCGGGACACTTCAGGTTTGATTAGTGATAGTCATTTTAATGAGAAATGTTTCTTCTCACCTTGCAAATTCTGTAGCAGTACCAAGTATATACTTCATGCTGTTCTAGTGATTTTACAGGACCGTCCTTCCAATTAAGCCAAATAATAAACTGATAACCTAATAGACTACAATTTAATAATCCCATGATGAGCTAAGTTTATAATATCTATTGGGTTGAAACATTAATGTTGTTTAGATTACAATATTTCAATTAAGACAATCACAGGATATGTTCTGCAGCAAGGTAATGGTAAATGAAGATATTGAGAATAAAACAATGCTGAATATATGCACATTAATGTCATTCACAACATGCTATACATGTTCTGAATAACATTAATACAGCCATCATTATATACATTTCTAAATAGCGCACAATTTTCAACTTGGAAATGATTGGCGCAGAAATTAATCATTGTGATATTGCTCATTATTAATTTTAAAGCAAGGGCAGTGACTATTTCTTAAAAATCAGAAGAGTTAATTTAGAGGATAGCATGTTATCTGAAATACATAAGTTTGCAGAATTCATTAAACTTCTTATTATGTAATGTAACAAAGAATAATACTACAGATAAAGATAATGTAGAGTTTCATGGGGATTCGTAATGCATTCCTATATATATTGTAACAGAACAATTTCAAAAAGATGAATTTCTTTTCAAAAACAAGAAATATTTTACATGTTTAATAATGTAAATAATGTTTAATCTATAGTTGCTAATACCAAAGGGCACCCATATTTACACTTTGTTTTTGCATTGTATTTATCTTGTTCATCATATTAGGAGTGATGTTCTTGATAATTAAGACCAGAGAAAAGAAAACTATTAAAAGAATGTCTGATTCATTTCATGTGAAATCAATTAATGTTGTGTCTCATCCATTTATTTCCTGCATAACTTTTCGTGCCATCATTCAACATGTAAAGGTTATCTTGAACTGAAAGTAAATGGATATGTGCTAGTTGAAATATGCAAAATACATGCTTTCCTGAAATTTAGAACTTTTCCACTTGTAACTACTTTTTTGTGTGTTTAAAAGTTGAAAAGGAATGGCTTATTAAAATATCCAGTATATGTTTTAATATATTTTTTCAGTTACATTGTGTAATATTTCCCCACTGACTCGTGATGTAAATATATATGTAATAATGATGTAGATGCAATTAGTCTGAACCTGCTGCTTCCAGTTAATGTATGATATGTGACAGAAATGGCTTCAAAGATGTGAATGATACTTTCATAAAAGCCATTACCGGATTACATGGACTTGACATAAGCCATTTTCAAGTACATTTCTCATTGTTTCCTTAAAAAACAAACTGATCTATGATATGAGTTTTACAATGAACTTTTAAAAATAAAAATTGAGAAATTTGAAATTCTTTATTTACAATATTCTTTCAAAAATTCTAGCCTCATTAATTGACATTAGATCAATTTCTGTTGTAAGTTTTATAAACTATATCAACCACAAACATGACAGCATTCACATGTAACCATTAAATGAGAATTAGATGAAGTGGTGCTTATCATTGTCTTGCTGCAACTCACAGAATAATATATAAAACAGAATATAATACAATATGACTTTTCATTCACATTAATAATTTTCTAGAGAAATTCATTTTTCAGATTTCATCCTAATTTATATTTTCACTAATATTGGAATCTTCTTCTTTTGAAAAAAATGTATTTACTTGCATAACAAAAATATTGAGGGCATTTAAAATAAATGAACATTAATTTTCATAACTATTTTGAATCTGAGAATCTGTTTTAATTCAGAATTTTAAATGTATTTCCTGTGTGTAATCATCTACACTCTTTAATGTTCATATTATTCATATAAAAGATAACATATCAAAACAGAAATGATTGCACTTTCACTGAACTCATATTCTTGTAAATGTTCTTATTAAATGAAATTTTCTTTTATAGAATAATAATGTGATTTGCTTAACATTTTTATAATGAAGATAATTTATGTAGGAAGTAGTGCAAGTATCGAATAACCAACATATTCTTAAACATTTAATGCAGAATATGCAAATTTGAAATACAAGATGTTAAAAATGTGATGTGGTGAGCACTTTTTTTAAAATGTTTTTGAAATAAATGTGTACAGCGTTATTTAAAATAGATGTCTGATATTCCTGCATTCTTTATATTAAATGCATTTTATTGTATATACAAAATGAAAAACATCCTAAATAATAATAATAAATTGTTTGTTTTAAATAATAAATAATAGTTTGTTTAACTAAAATGTGAATTGTTGGGGAAAAACAATTTTTTTGTATACTGCCAAAAAACAGTTGTGCTACTGAAGATGCTATGTACTTTCTTAGCTCCAAATAATATTGAAAAAGCAAAATTAATGCATTATAGTATTTCATCAAAATTTTTTTTAGAGAAAAATGCTACTTTTTGCAAAATTGCTGTAATATTGTTATATTAATTTGTTTCATGATCATTTATTTATTTACTGATGAATGTAGTATTACAGGGATGTTCTACCTCACTGGAAACTAAACTACTTTTCTAAATATTTTATGATTTTAAAAACTTATATTTCAATAACAACAAAAACAAAAAATATATCATGGGCAGTGAAATATTTAAGAGGAACATATGAAAACAAATTAAATCAGTTAAAATATTCCTTGGATTGTTAATTAAAGGAAAATATGTGTCAATTTAATTTTATCTTTAATGTTGAATGTTCAGACTTATTCTATTCTGCTTCTGCTTTAGCAGGTATTCAGTTGAATAATGTTAATTAAAACAGTCCTACTGAAATGAACATTTAAATATAATTTTTTTAAACTTCTTTTGTGTGTAAAAGTTATGGTAGTAAGCTATTTTTGAACCGAGTGTTATTAAAAAGTAAATCTTGTTTGTGTCAATCGGTTTAAATCAAATTAAGTTAATGTAGTCATTACATTATTAACAATTAAATGTATTCTGGAAAAATAATTAAAATACATTGGAAATATAGAAATATTAAATATACGATAAGCTAAAGGGCAAAAGTATGAGCATCTTAAGTGGGACCCTGTTGTAAGAAATATTAAATTAATAAAACATAACATTTACTGGACTAATTAATGAGAGATTTAAAGTGTGCTGAAAGGCAAAAATATTAGCATTTGTAAGCAAGAAATCAGTGATTTTATATATGTTACTGCATATTAAAAACCCAAATGATACACAAAGAGGGCAAGGGCTGAGTGTTTCATAATACGTCTAAAAATGCTTAAGGGTTTAATGACCTGAATCTTGTGTGCAGTTATTACAAAGGTTTTAATTTTACTAGTAGTAATTCTGAGTATTCAGACACAGAATTGCATAATAGTAGTTAGTGGTATTATCTTCTCTCAGGCTAGTTTGAAAAGTTTTAGTGATAAAAAGTGGTTGAAGTGTTTTTGAATCACTGGGAGTTGATATGCAGTATAGTGTTTTATTATTTTGTCAAAATTAGACTTGGCTACTAATTACAGCCAAATTTTTATTAAATTACTAAGGAAATGAACTTGGAAAAAGCTGAGCCCATACTTGTGCAAAGTTTCATAATACTAAGGAGGTTGAAATTTTAATGAAAAATAACTCATTGTTTGAATACTTAAGCGTAAACTTATTATTTTTTTCACAAGAATAGGTTATAATGGGATGACACAAGGATCAAAACGAAACTTCATTTGTTTGAAAGATTTTGATAAACAGAAGAAAAGAAAAAAAAAAAAGAGATGCCATGATCCCTTGATGACTTCAGTAGATCTGTTTTTTATCTCTAAATAACAACTATTAAGTCTGTTTTTTGATCTGATAAAATATTTGTTTGCAGTCTGTGGGCAGATCTATTATTAAGCAACTGTGTAATCTGTAATTACATAGAAGAACTGCTTGTAAAAGTAGAGCAAAATTTTATTTACCCTTTGAAAGGCTAGATTGTATTTGTGGTGTTGGGTGAATCAAGAGATTTAAAAGGGCTTGCCAGAGCATTCCTTTTCTTACATATTTCCGGTGGATGTCTCAAAAGAGAACTGTGGGTCTTTTAGAGATGATGCAAGCCATCCTCATAAATAACTGCTTTTGTAGAAAGCTTACTCAATCAGAGTTCTAAATACTGCAGCTGAAAACTGAAAGTAGATGATAACTGTCAGTGCAGGAAATAATCTCTGTTTGAAAAGTTATTGTCTAAATCAATTAAAAAGGCATCCATCATAAATGTTCATCCATCATGTAGATTTGTCAAGCTGAAAAAATATATGTTTGTAGGGGTTTAATTAGCCAGTACCTTTTCCAGGAATAAGTTTTTTGAT